CTGCAGGGACCGAGTCCCAGGACCTGAGGAGCAGCTGCGGGGCCCCCGCTTCAGCCCCTCAGGCTTGTGTCCAGCTTGAGGGAGGCTTGCTGCAGGTGAGCCCCCACCGGCAGGCAGTGGGGCTGCCCTGGGGCCATGCCCAGTGAGGGGGGCGGTGTGGGCCACCATGCTCTTGGGGGTGAGCAGGGGAGCCCCAGCTCACCCCACCTCATCCTGGCCCTGGATGCCTCGCAGTGCTCCACCGTCTGCTCCATCAACTCCTCCAATCTCCTCCTGTGCCTGAGCCCTGCCGTGCCAGACGGGGCACGCCCCCAGCGGGTGTTCTTCACCCTAGACAACGTGCACGTGGACTTTGCCAGCGCCAGCGGGGGCCAGGATTTCCAGTACCAGCCCAACCCCCGGCTGGCCCCGCTCAGCCGAGAGGGGCCCGCCCTCCTGAAATCTGGCAACGTCCTGGACGTAGAGGTGAGGGCTTCCACTGGCCATCTCTGTGGAGGGGCTGCAGGCGCAGGCTAGGCAGCCTGGCTCAGGCCCCTGTTCCGTCTCCCAGGGTGAGGGTCTCAACCTGGGCATCAGTAAGGAGGAGGTGCGCGTGCATATCGGTGACAGCGAGTGCCTAGTGAAGACGCTCACACTCACCCACCTGTACTGTGAGCCGCCCCCGCGGGCCCCGCAGCCTGCCAATGGCTCCAGCACCCTGCCGCAGTTTGTGGTGAGGTTGGGGCCCCAGTGCAAGGGTGGGTGGCGGGCAGAGCAATGAAGGCAGGCGCTCAGGAGCCCCGCTCACCTCCCCCCCCAGGTGCAGATGGGCAACCTGCGGCTGGCCCTGGGCCCGGTCCAGTACGAGGCCGAGCCTGCGCCGTCTGCCTTCCCCGTGGAGGCCCAGGTAGGCCTGGGCATGGGCGCTGCTGTGCTCACCGCCACCATCGTCCTCCTCATCCTCATGTACAGGTGAGGAGCCCTCCCCGCCATGCATACTCCTGGGAAAACTTCCTTCACTTTTAGAAAGGGTGCCCCATGGCAGGCCTCTAGGCAGGTGGCCATCCTGGCTTGGTGTCCTCAGCCCGGGCAGGGCTGGGCCTATGTGTGACATCTGGCACCTGGATTACAGGCACAAGAGCAAACAGGCCCTGCGGGATTACCAGAAGGTTCTGGTACAGCTGGAGAACCTGGAGATTGGCGTGGGCGACCAGTGCCGCAAAGAGTTCACAGGTAGGGAGGGGGTAGTAGGGAGGGGGCAGACGGCCCACCTAGGCCTGGGCCCACACCTTGGTGGCTCCCGGCCTGCAGACCTGATGACCGAGATGACTGACCTCAGCAGTGACCTGGAGGGCAGCGGGATCCCCTTCCTGGACTACCGCACATACGCCGAGCGAGTCTTCTTCCCTGGGCACGGTGGCTGCCCGCTGCAGCCCGTGTTGGGAGGGCCCGGGGAAGAGGGCCACCGTGCCCCTGTGCGCCAGGGCCTCACGCAGCTCTCCAATCTGCTCAACTGCAAGCTTTTTCTCCTCACAGTGAGGACCACACAGGCGGGCCGGGGGCTACGGAGGGGGGCAGGGAGGTGGGGCTGGGCACAGGCTGGGCCGGGTGGTAGGTATAGGCACAAAGGTGGGAGGATGCACGGGGCGTGGAACTTCCCAGAGTGAGCATCAGCCCCCCACCCCTACCTAGCTCATTCACACGCTGGAGGAGCAGCCCAGCTTCTCCCAGCGGGACCGCTGCCACGTGGCTTCGCTGCTGTCCCTGGCATTGCATGGCAAGCTCGAGTACCTGACCGACATCATGAAGACGCTGCTTGGTGACCTGGCTGCCCATTATGTGCACAAGAACCCCAAGCTCATGCTGCGCAGGTTGGCTTTGGCCTGACCTTGGTCATGCCAGCAGGGGTGGTGGCTCCCCCCTACCCCGCCCTGTTCTGGGGTGGGCGGGATCAGGAAGCCCCAGGAGGTGGGCTAGGACAGAAGCCACTGGTAGAGAAGTAGACGGGCATCCTCACCAGGGACCTGGGCACAAAGGGCTGACAGGCAGAAAAGCTCTTCACTGCCTCTGCTGCCCGCCTCAGGCCAGGGACACGGTGTCCCTGCAGCTCTCATTTCTGACCTGGGGCCTGCTCCCTACAGGACAGAGACCATGGTGGAGAAGCTGCTCACCAACTGGCTGTCCATCTGTCTTTACGCCTTCCTGAGGGTGAGGGGTGCCCTGGATGGCATTTTCTCCTTGCTCCGTCGAGAGGCTGCTGCCTGTGGCCTCACTGACCTGTGCCCAGATTCCCCCAGGGACCTCAGGGCGTGAGGGCATAGCAAGGGGGTGTGTGTGCAAAGGGAAGGGTTTTGACCCTTTTCCCCGGGCTGGTTGTGAGGCGGAGACCAGCCGTCGTTGTCTACCCTTGCTCTGTGCAGCTGGCTACCCCTCCCCACCCCCGTCATGCCCTCTGAGCCTTGCGCAGGCCACTAGTCCCCTGGCCGATGCTGGCCCATCCTAATGGTTGCAGGAGGTGGCTGGTGAGCCGCTGTACATGCTCCTCCGGGCCATCCAGTACCAGGTGGATAAGGGCCCTGTGGACGCCGTGACAGGCAAGGCAAAACGGACCCTGAACGACAGTCGCCTGCTGCGGGAGGACGTGGAGTTCCGGCCCCTGACTCTGATGGTGCTGGTGGGCCCCGGGGCTGGCGGGGCTGCATGGAATGGTGAAGTACAGCGCGTGCCCGCCCGGGTGCTCGACACAGACACCATCACCCAGGTCAAGGAGAAGGTGTTGGACCAAGTCTACAAGGGTACCCCCTTCTCCCAGAGGCCCGCCGTGCATGCCTTAGACCTCGGTGAGACACCCCGCCTGCCCTCATCGCATGGGTCCGGTCCACCTAGAGAGGCTCAGCTCTGCCTTGCTCTGAATGGCAGACTTGGGGAATGGCTGCAGTCTGATTGGCTTCCCTGGGTCCCCCCAGAGTGGCGCTCAGGCCTGGCTGGCCACCTAACCCTGTCGGATGAGGACCTGACCTCGGTGACCCAGAACCACTGGAAGAGACTCAACACTTTGCAGCACTACAAGGTGCGGGGTGGGCGTGGGCTGGGGGACAGGCCCTCGCCTCTGGATCAGCCAAGGAAGGGGTCCAGCCTCTGCTCCCCTCTCGCCAGGTCCCAGATGGGGCCACGGTGGCGCTCGTCCCCCAGCTACACAACGGAGGCGCTGTTTCCCAGAGCTTGGCCCAGAGCTGCCCTTCCAAAGAGAGTGAGTCCAGCAACCCAGACGTGCCCACCTGTTCCCGGGAGCCTGAGGGAGGCAGGCAGGAGTCCTGGTCCTGCCTATCACTTGGGTCTCCCCATACCTTGCCAGCGGGCCAGCCAAAGCTCCAGGCTGAGCCGAGGGCCTAGGGCACATGAAGGCAATGGCATGCCTGGTCAGGGAGCTCCAGGGCCACAGGATGTTGGGCTGAGCAAGCCCCTGGGCTGCTACCCCCGTCTCCACATCACTACCCTCTGCTTTCCTTGGCTCCTCCCACCTTGTCCCGCCCCAACAAGCAGAGTGGGGTGGGTGTCAGGGGCATAGGACTGAGGTCGGCACGTGTGTCCTCAGACATCCCCATGCTAGAGGATGGTGAGGAAGGCGGAGTCCGCTTCTGGCACTTGGTGAAAGGCACCGAGGAACCAGAAGGGGCCAAGGCACGGCGCAGCAGCCTTCGAGAGCGGGAACGGGAGCGGGCACGGGCCAAGGCCATTCCAGAAATCTACCTCACCCGCCTACTCTCCATGAAGGTCGGTGCGGCTGGGGAGCCAGGTCCCAGGGGAGCCAGGTGACAGGAAGGCTCCCTGAGGGGCCCCTGACTAAGCTAGGGAGAAGGCGTGGTCCTGAGAGGCTGAAGGGTGGCCCTGGCCACTGATGGAGCCCCACCCCCCCACCTTCCAGGGCACACTGCAGAAGTTTGTGGATGATACCTTCCAGGCCATCCTTAGTGTGAACCGACCTGTGCCCATCGCTGTCAAGTACCTGTTTGACTTCCTGGACGAGCTGGCCGAGAAGCATGGCATCGAGGACCCAGAGACTTTGCACATCTGGAAGACTAACAGGTACCTTGCCTGCTGCCCTCCACCATCTCCATGCAGACAGGACATGGAGTTCCAGAGGGACAAGTTCACTGCCTGGATCGGAGCAGCAGGGTCTGATCCAGAACATAGGCTGGGAGGCATCCAGCTGGATTTCTGGCCACCCCCAGCATAGACTCTCATGGCTGCTCCCCATGGACCTCAGGGCTGGGGCCCAGGCTGACGATGCATGCTAGACTAGCCATGCCTCACACCCACGGCTGGCCTGTGTCCGCAGCCTGCTGTTGAGGTTCTGGGTGAACGCCTTGAAGAACCCACAGCTCATCTTTGACGTGCGTGTGTCAGACAACGTGGATGCCGTCCTCGCCGTCATCGCCCAGACCTTCATCGACTCCTGCACTATCTCAGAGCATAAAGTGGGCCGGGTGAGAGCAGAGCTGGCCGTGGTGGCAGCCGGGTGGTTGAAAGAAGAGGCTTGTGGGGAAGCCACAGGGGCTGGGCACAGAGCCCTGGGTGGGGCTGGGGGGGATGGCGAATAATGAGGGCCAAGGGGAGGGGGCACTGGTGGCACAGTCAGGGTGACAGGACCATAGCTTCCCCACCTGCCTACTCACGCCCACCCCCACCCGGAGCAGGATTCCCCAGTGAACAAACTTCTCTACGCCCGGGAGATCCCTCGCTACAAGCAGCTGGTGGAGAGGTAGGTGTCAGGGTAGCAGGCATGGCTGGGGGTGGAGGCTGCGCACCCCT